TGGCTCTGGTTCCCCGGCCCTGCTCCCGTCCCTTCCCTGCCCTTAAGGGGGTACAAAATCCAACTATTACAAAGTATTACAAAGTATAAAAGCACGCTGCAACATTCATGCATTAGTTCAAATTTTAGTGTCACCTTGGGTTGTTTTCCCCCATTTTCTTCAGGAAAACTTCTGTAGACTGACTACTGTAACAGGTGTTTTACTTTAGTAAGGTGTAAGAGGGGAAGCAAGGGAAAAACTAGGGGTGTTATTTCCTAAAGACTTTCATTAGTAAATTATGCTGGCTTTTGAAGATTTTGGCATTTTTCTGAAAATGCTTTTCCCTTTTTGTTAAATACTGTATAGATGTCATGTAGCTGACAGGCTATGGTGTACTTTCTCTACAGTCATTCAGTTCGCTGTGGTCAATCAACAGAAATTCATTGTTCTAATGTATGTGGAAATACTTTAAACTGTGGAAAGCACAGCTGTACTCAAGTGTGCCACTCAGGAAAATGTTCACCTTGCCAGTTAACAGTACAGCAAGGTAAGTACTGAAATGCTCTACAGATATCCACCCTATACAGTGAGAACATGGGGGTGGAAAAAATCAGTATCAAGAGGCAGGTGTCAGTTTTTCCTTAAAACAACCAAAATCTATTGCTGGAATCCTGCCATGATGATTAGGCTGTTGGAGCATGTGTCTTATTAGGACAGGCTGGTGATACTGGACTTCCTTATCTTGAGAAGGCTGAGTAGTGGCCTTTCAGTAGCTAATAAGTAATTTAAGAAGACAGAGATGGGTTATGCATGTGTGAAGGATGAGAGACAATGAGCTTAAATTCCTTGTAATTAGCTGTAAGGAAAATCTCTTGTCTTGGGATTTTCAAGACCAACTGAATAAAACACTTGAGTAATGTGGTCTGATCTCATTGTTGACTGTGCTTTAGGTAAGGGCTTGGACTAACTAATCCTTTCTTACCTGAATTATTCTCTGATCTTACTGAATTTTTTACTATAATTATAAGAATTAATTAGGCAGTAAATGAAAGAAAAATACAAGAAGGTATGGGAAAGTGTAACGTGCATGGAGTGTGTGGGTCAGATACAGAGACTCACACTCCAGAGTTCTTGTGACAAACAGCCTCGAGTTTATTCCTCCAGCTCATTTTATAGGAGCTCCAGTTACACATGTGATTTGTTGAGGTCTTAGCCCCATCCAGTTCTCTGGCCAATGATACATCTGCGTTTAGAGCTGAATGACATTGGCTGAGGGTCCCTGTGCAGATTGAATCCAACCTATCCCTGCCCACCCAGGGATTCCAGGCCCACAGGAAAGTACATTTCAACAAGCTTCTCACGATTTCTGTTAAAATTTTCTAAACCGAGTATTGAATGGAAATTAAATTGTCTGAGTAGGTATGCCAGTATAGAAATAACTTTATAGAACAGTTTATACAGAAAATTGCAAGTTAATTTTCTCAGTTTCTAAGGTAATAATTAACTTGTTATTTATACTGCTTTAATAAATAAACTTTCTGTGCACATGGTACCACTTTATCAAAATAAATGATGCTGGAATTCCAACTTCTGTAGGACAAAACCCTTTCAGTGATGAAATAAATCTAAAGAGGAGCAACTTCTTTATCCTTCTAAAAATTGACTGTAACAGTTTTTCACTTTTTACCTTTTTATATTTGCTGGAGGTGTTTTGTCACTGATATTCTCTTGTATTGTTTTCTGTGGAATATTGCTTTCTTACAGTGTGTTACTGTGGAAGCAACTTTAGAGAAGTATTGTGTGGATCAAAGGAAGAATTCTCTGACGGTTTTGGGAGTTTCTCATGTCAGAATATATGTGGCAAGTAAGATCACTATGACTTACACTTTTAAAAAGAAGGTAATTCTATTCACAATTACTTACTGTGATACTCTTAGATAATTCCCCTTTTAATATTTTTCTTGTTTTGTATTTTGTTTCTTTGATTATTTTTTTTCCAGAAAATTAAATTGTGGGAGGCACAACTGTAAGCAAGTATGCCATCCTCAGCCTTGCCAGCTCTGTCCACGACTTCCACAAGTTGTGTATCGTTGTCCCTGTGGTCAGACTCCTCTCAGCAAGTTACTGGAACTAGGATGTGTTGAACGTAAAATTTGCACAGATCCTATCCCATCGTGTGGAAAAACATGTGGCAAACCTCTTTCTTGTGGTAGCTATGGTAATTAGAAATTTCTGTATCAGAGTATTCTAAGTGTCTCATAGTGTCACCAAAAGTCAGGTGAATAGAACTTCTGAACACCAATGCAGCATTAAGAAGTAGGCATTCTTTATTGTGGTACCAGCTGTAGGCAGGATAAGTTCACCCAGAATCGCATATTCCGGTTCTCTGCAAGTGTGTTGCTTATATACTTAAATTACATAATATGCTTCACAATTTGCAGAAATCTTGTACATATTATAATTGCTCGTTACCATAAAACTCTCCTCCTGGCTTAGTCTTTTTATGGTCTTATTTTGGCTGTGGTTGCATTCTTAAGCCAGATGTACTTACTCCCCCAGTCCCTTTATCTTCCCTCTGTCCTTGCTCTGGAGGCAGGGCATGCCTGTTTCTTTGTTAAAAGTACACAGATGAAGTCTTTGTTCATAGACTAACCTTTTTGATATCAATATTTTGAAAACAAAACAAAAAGTGGTCTTTAAATATTTAATTTCAGTAAAATAATATTTTATTAGCAATTTGGGGTTTTAACCAAAATGAGTGTAAAAACCACTGCAGAGCCTGCAGTCTAGCTGTGTGTTCATAATAATGCTTTAAAATAAGGAAATAAAACTCAGCTCTGCATAAGCTTAGTGTCATTGATCAGTGATGCTCCTAATAATATGATGTTACAGGTCATAGATTTTTTATATTCTTAATACTTGTATTTTCATTTTGCTAGAGTTTGTTCATACATGTGAAAGCCTTTGCCATGAAGGAGACTGTAGACCATGTTCTCACACATCAAATATTTTTTGTAGGTGTGGCTTCAAAAAAAAGGTGAGTGTGTAACTGCAGAAACAGGTAATCTTTGCTTTTTAAAGCTGTGGAGAAAAAGGAATTGAAGAAGTATAAAGAAGTACTGTGCTTCTTAGCTGCAAGAACCTGTGTTGTATACTAACTGATGGTATCTAGCTTATACTGTGAAGTGGCAACATGCTTTTACTATGAAGGCAAGTTTTAATGTATTTTGGCAGAGTTGGAACAGAGTTCTGTTAGTGTAAACATTCTGCAAAATCCTGTATTATTCTGGAGTATTTTTATAGCATAAGGAATTGGTACTGTTGCCAAGAGTAAACTGAGAGAAGAAAGGCAGCCTAATTAAAACTCTATAGCTTGTAGTCTCCTTGTAGATGTTTTAGTAGAGACTACATTTTTACTGATTGCTTTTCTTTGTACATTTATATAGTGATCCTGCAGGTCTTCAGCTATTGTTATTTAGTAATTATTATATTTTTAAACCATGCTACTTTCTGTAATCATAGCTTTGAAAGTTTTGGCTACTATCACAGAAGCTTTGATGACTTTTTTGACCTGTTATGTATCATCTGCAAGTAGAGGCGGCTTCTGAATATATATGTCTGTAAGTGCTTGGAAATGACTGAGAGTTTGCTAGAGGTTGGAACTGCTTTCTCCTAGAAGTTTGCTGAAGGTAGTTATGGGGTAGAAGGCTTTAGATTGCATTTTGAATCTTGAAATAAAGTAGTGAGGTTTTGGGTTTAGTTTATGAAGTTTCTCACACACCAGAAAGATGCTTCTATAAAAAGAGTTAACTACAGTGATAATTTCAATAAATTATGAAAAATGTGATAGTCAGAAATGACAGAATGTAAACTTGTGGTGAATGCTTCAAATGTCAACAACATTATTTTCATCCATCACATTTTATTTTCATGTTGAGGTCTTTAGGTATAACTTTGTAAACGTAACATTAGGCTTTCTTCTTTTCTTTCGTCAGACTTGCGTTTTAGAACAGTTGGTCAAAGCACAAATTTATGCACTCCTATCAGTATTCTCTGGGAGAGCTCTATTGGTTTCTTGGGACAAGCCTGATTCTCTCAGTTTACCGTGACACTTAATACTGCTGAATTAAGTGGAGAATACAAAACTACATTTTTTTAAAAATTGGTATTGAATCTTTAAGGAACAAATACCGTGTTAAAAGATTTGAGGATTTTTTTTCCAGTTTTTATTTCACTTTTGTGTGCAGATGTGTCATACACATGAAAACTGAGTGTGCTTCTTTTTTCATGTGACCAAGTGTTTTCAAGATAAGTATGTTTCAGTTGTTTCATTTATTTTAACCCAATGGCTGCTTGTTTGTTTCCTAGGAAATCCCATGTGCTCTTCTCAGAAATAAAGGTACAAGATAATGATATATATATAATGTAAAGTTGTTTAAAAATTATCACAGCTCATAGTAATTTGGGGATTGATTTACAAAGTTGGCAAATAGCTGATCTGTACTGCATCTTTTATCCATGCTTTCATGCCAAGTTGGTAATTTCTGCTGCTTGTTCATGGTACTGGTCATGATGCTGTGTTTGGGAGAAGGTTTGAAATATAAACATCTTCAGTTTTCTTTCATCTTTTACATAAGGAAAGACTTCTTCACGTTTGATCTCAAAGATGATGTCTGTTTTATTTTGAGCAGTTTCTTACACCGCCTGCCATATTCATTAGGTTGACGTCCCCCTCCTACTCCCCCATCATCCTGTATAACTTTTGGTCAACTTGCACAGCTCAGATTCAGTGTAATAGTTTTGCTCTGATGCCTATGTTTCTGGCGAAATACAAGCTTTGATTCTACTTCACATTGTATAGTGGTGATCTTTGCAGCTGGTCTTTGCATATGACCACAGCAGAGTGTTCCCATTTGATGCTTCTCGGTATTCAAGATCTAACATCTCAAAATTCCTCTCAGTGAAATCTTTACTTGATTGACCCCTGTCTACTGCGGTATTTATTTACAAGATACATAAGGGAGTAATATGCATATTTTCTAATTTGACCTTTTGTCTATGAAGACTTTGCTCTTATGGAATCCAGAAGTGATTTCCTTTTGTAAGCTGTTTATGGTAATAAGGATATTCTTTGCTAGCAATAGTTTCATGAGCATATAGCAGTGGTTGTTTTTAGCTGACTAAAACAGCTAAAACCACCCCAGTTTAATCAGTCTTAAATTGTGTGTTTATGGTACTTCAGTGTATCAGAATATCCTGTTTTGTTTGTTCTGTTGTGTGGAGTTTATGGTGTGAGGGTTAAGGGGAAATTAACTAGCTTCCTGTATTCTGCTTTCCAAAATCCTTTTGAATAAGGGTTTAAAGAAAGGCAAGTGCCCACATGGGGATAATTGTGAGGGAGAGTGAGTAATTTAAAAGTTTGCTTGCTGGCTTAACATGTGTTAGTCTCTCCTAGACCATGCCCTGCAACAGCCTTAGCATAATACTGTAATTACAGATTTTATTCTCAGCATATGCAAAGACCTAAAAGTTAGGAATTTGGGGGGATTTTTTTTTAATAGCTGCTATTACATTCATGTGTGACAAGCGATGCAACAAGAAGAGATCATGTGGACGACACAAGTGTAATGAAGTTTGCTGTGTGGTAAGTGTACCTGTGGTTTTATAAAATTGCTTGATGTGATGTGTGTTTAATTCTGGTTGTGATGTTAACAGTCTTTTTTTCTTTTTTTTTTTTTTTTTCATTTTTGTGCATCTTCATTCTCTATTTGCTGTGTTTGTTATGCTCACAAAGTTTGTGTGTGTGCATTTATTTTGCAAGTTTTGTTTTATAGGTATCATTATAAATGTGAAGCCAAATTTCAGCCTAAATGCAGTTAAATCAGTAAAGGTGCTTTTTTGTCAATGTAGTGATTCCAGGGAGAATGGAGAGGGAAAGCATATTGCTTAATAGAAGAAGCATAAACCTTGTAGCTGTGTCTGTAACAGAAGTCTTAACAGAATCTTCATTAAAAATTGTGTATCCATACAGTGATGGAAAAACTGTATAGAGTTGGACTAAGCTATTTTTTGCGCTACACAGTTTTGTCTGTCTATTATTAGAAGTAGATTGGAACCTCAAAGGGAAAAAAATACCCAATAGAGCTTATAGTTAAATTCTGGTTTTTCTTTTTTGCCATTTCTTAGGACACAGAACATAAGTGCTCTTTGGTTTGTGGTCGTAAACTCAACTGTGGGATTCATAGATGTGAAGAACCCTGCCATCGTGGCAGTTGTCAAACATGCTGGCAAACAAGTGAGTTATGTGCAAAAATACATAATTTTCATTTATTCTAGGAATACATTAATATCTCTGTCTAGCTTTAGGTAGTTAATGTGATCTATTTTACAGTGGTAAAAAAGGAGAAAGACAGGTGATGTAGATTGTAAGGATACTGTTTACAGATTTAAGTGGCTTTGCTGCAGTAGTACATGTATCTTTCTTGTGTTATATGCACATAGACATAGTCAAAGACCTCCATTTTATGGAGACCAACTTTTCATGGAATCATCCTGGGAAAAAGAAGGTGCTAGAGCCTCTGAAGCTCACTGTGCTTGAGTAAGCATTGTAGTCTGTCTTAATAGCCTATTAATATGATGTGTGTGTTGACTGCATCTCTCATTAGAAAAATAGATATTTCTATGTGCAAACATTTCTCTTGACAAAGCAAAATAGTAATCTTAGTGTCTCAGAGGTCCTGTTAGTAACTTCTGGTGTAGTCGAGTCAAAGTGCACGGTTTTTCTGAGCAGTTGTTTTTCTTCACTGAATTCCATAGGTTTAATATTTAAGGTTGTTAAACTTATCCACATTGCTGCAATATTTTTGAGGATTGTGTTTCACTCTCAGATTAAAGGAGACTTAAGGATTGCCTCCATTGTTAAATGGGAGGCCTCCACTGTAAATTGCTCCACTGTTGAATGTGATAAAATCTAGAGGTCAATCTTCTATGCTGATTTTTTTTCTGAATACGGGAAAAGCAGTTACATACTTCAGGAACCTGATTATTATGATAATTTGGCTTAAACCTCTGTGCTCCTGAAGTTTCCCATGTGAATCTGTCCAGAGGTAAATCAACTAAGCAGTCTATTTAAAGATTTCTTACCTGCTTTCTCTTGGTGCTGCTTGTTGAGATTACAGAGGCATACATTGTATGATTCTATATGATTCTGACCCTATAGTTGATGGTGAATCCTTCTCAGCACTCCAAGGACCATTTTGACTCTGATGCACCTGTCTAGCCAGCAATTTGCAGGTGGTTTATATCAACCATGGTATCAAATGCATGGTCAGCTGTAAGTCATTTGCCTACTCATTAGATTGGATTTCTTGCCCCTGCTTTCATCTCCATTACTGCTTTTGCTAGGAATGGTGAGGGCTGACATCAACTTGCAATACTACAGTGCATCTACACCTCTGTGTGCTTCCCAGGTGCTTCACTTTCCAGTGTAATTTCCTCAGTGCTGATAAGTGTGGTCCCTTTCTTGTGCTAGGGTTTCTTTATGCGTGCACAGTCTACTTCAAGACATGAGTACATCTCTTGGGGAAAATAAATAATGTCAGCATTAGAGACAGTGCAGTTAAAAAAAAAAAAAATCAGATACTGTATTTCTGCCCTTTGGATCCAGACCTCTCTGCACTCTGTCCCCATTATCCTGATTAGTGCAACTAAGGGACTTCTCATTATAAGATTCTTCACTTACCATTTCTCATCAATAGCAAGCGTTCAGTGTAGCTGTCTTAACATTCAGGTCTTCTGAAGACCAGGTTTCAAGACCTGTAGTAAGGGACAACAAAGCTCTGCTCTTTCCCATGCTTCCTTTCCAGAGGGCCTTCCTTTCTGTTGGCATTCTGAGTCTTTTCTGCTTTTGCTTTCTACTTCTTTTTTCTAACATTTTGTTCACCCCAGCATTCTTATTTGCTGTAATTTATTGTAATTTAGTCTCCTTAGACAAAAATTGCAGGTTTGTTTTTTTTTTTACTAACTGCTGTACTTCAAAATACATGGGCAAATGAGTAGGATCTGGCCTGAGATTTAACTGATGGGACAGATCATAAAAAATAACCAGACTTGAGAAATTTCTGAACATAGGAAAAATCATTGAAAAAGTGAAAGAAGTTTCAGATAGGGAATTTCACCTCTGTTCCTCACCAAAAAGGGTGAGACATGTCTGAGCTTCACAAGTAATTGGACGAGTGAGGTATAGGGAACCTTTTTGACGGTGGAACTTCTGAGGGCCAGTAGGTAATTGTGATGCTGATATAACCACACTAATAATAGCAGAAGTAGCAGATTTGGGTACAGATGTAGCTGAGTGGGCCAGTGGCTGTACTGGGTTTGCATCCAGGGTTTGGAAGCAAGGGGCTACAGAATTGGCTTCTGTGTGAAGCTGCTAGAAGCTACCCTATGTCCAGCAGAGTCAATGCCAGCTGGTTCTAAGATGGATCCACCACTGGCCAAGGTCAAGCTGATGAGGAATAACAGTAACACCTCTGTGATAATGTACTTAAGAAGTAAAAAAAAAATATTGAACAGATGTAATTGCAGCCGGAGAGGAGAGAAGGCAACTATGCAGACACTTAAGATCAGTGAAAAAGGAGGGGGAGGAGGTGCTCAGGTGCTGAAACAGAGCCACTGTTGGGGAAGACCATGGTGAAGCAGCTGTGGCCCTGCAGCCCATGGAGGTCAACAGGGGTACAGAAATCCACCTGCAGCCCACAGAGGAACCCCACACTGGAGCAGGTGGATGTCTGAAAGAGGCTGTGAACTGGTGGGAGTCCTGTGCTGGAACAAGCTCCTGGCAGGAACGTGCAGACCTGTGGAGAGCGCTAAAGCAGGTTTTCTGGTAGGACCTGTGACTCTGGTGGAACCCACATTCAACCAGGTTTTGCCTGAAAAGGGCTGCACCCTTTGGAACAGTGACCTACACTAGAGCAGTTTGTGGAGAACTGTTGCATGCAGGATGGACTCCCGGTGGAGATGTTCATGGAGAGCTCCCCATGGGAGGGACCCAGCTATGGAATAGGGAAGGTCTCTTATCCCTGAGCAGCAATGGGAAAAATGTGTGATCAACTGCCCCCACTCCCTGACCACTGCACCACTGGGGGACAGGAGCTGGAGCCTGGGAAAGAGGGAGGAGTGGGGGGGAAGTGTTCTTAAGATGTATTTTACTTCTCAGTATCCTGCTCTGATTTTATTAGAAATAAACTCAGTTAGGATGCCCAAGTGGCATCTGTATTTTGCCCATTATGGTATTTGGTGAATGACCTCTCCTGGCCCTTATCTCAAGTCATTATATTTTCTTTTCCCTGCCTGTGGATGGGAGTGATAGAACAGCTTTGGTGGGTGAAGGACATCCAGCCAGGTTAAAGTCACTTTAATGGGAAAAAAATTATTTTGTTAGATTATTTGGGAGGGATCAAGGTGGATGCATGGACAAATGGAGGGAAGGCACAATAGACATCATTTGCACAAATGAAGCTGTTGGTCAACTTAATTAGTTGATAGAGATCTGTGCGCCTCATGTCTATTGTTTATCCTGTCATAGTTAAGATTTAATATCTTTCAGTGTAGTCTCATTCTCTGTTCTGTGTGTGAGAGTTCTTGTGTGCCAGCAGCTGGAGGCTTGGCTGCACATCATGGGAGCACATAGTCTTTATGTTAGCAACTAAGATACCAGATTGATGTGCGAACAGCTGGAGAATGGGATCTTAAGTTATAAAGACCCCTTGATCTGGGTGCCAGCACATGGATGGATGAGGGTTTGTTTGCAATTTTCTAACAAGCTTGCTTCAAAGCTGGATTGAATAGCTAGTAGATCCACCTCTGGAATTACCCAAGGTTTCAGCCAGTATCTGGGAAAGGAGTCTGTCCAGGCATGGATATTAGATAGCCTGTGCTAGTATTTCAGATTCATGAATGTGCATGTGAATTTGGAGTGAATTGTGTGTATGTCACTAATAAGCTTCAGTCCTGATGAGCTGAAGAAAAAGAAGAGGACTTAGCTATTGGTATTCCTCTTTACTTGAATCTCGTAATTCGGTTGGCTTTGTGTTAGTCTGTGTGTCTGGTCATGTTATTGCCATGTATGTATTGAGTTTCTCGTCTCTCTGGAATGTGTGTTCAGTCCTGCACTAGGCTGGATCTGCATATTGATCTAGCAGCCATCAGTAGCTATAGAGGTGGGACAGTAGGAACATTTGGGAGTTCAACAGGTTGTGCTTTGGTAGACTAGGAGGGAAGAATCCTGTGATTCCAGAGTTAAAGTCAGAGAACTTGCTGAATTCCAAAGCTCCCTTAACACACTTCTCTTCAGGTTAGAATTGTTGGTTTGTGTTTTTGTTGCCCCCTTATTCTCTTACTTCCTCCACCATTTTCTGTTGTTTTCCACTACCTCTTTATTTGCTTATAGACCAATCATATTCTCTTTTTGTTCTCAGATCTGCTTCTGTATGATGTCAGTGTTCTTAGTGTTCTGTTTTTCTAAGCATTTATCTGTTTGAACTGTAGTTTGCGTTCCAGTTTGCCAGTTTTTATACAGTCTGAAAAAAGCAGTGAATTGTATTAATTTTTGTACAGTGTTTCATTGGGGTGGTGTATGTAAGTACTTCTATTACTTTGTTTATTACTGAGATTTGAATCTTATAGGAGTTTAAAACTTGTTTCCCAAACACGGAAGATAAAAAAATGCACTCAGAACAAAATGGGTACTGCCTGAGACAGAGAACTTCCAAAACATACAAAGCTGGATTTGAAGTCTTTGGACATGTTCATAATGAACGTTTACGAGGATCCATGTAATAATAAATACCATAAAGAAGACTTGTTGTCTTTTGGTAATTTTCTTTGGAATCTTTATAGTACTAAATGCAGGGCTTAGCAAAATGGCAAAATATAAACACTGGTCTGAAAAAGTGATGTCAGGAAGTTTGGAACACGAAATTTCAATGGTAGGCCTTCTGGAAGGGAATTCAAGAGATACCTCCCCTTTTTAAATCAAAGGTAGAACAGCAAAGCTTTCAACTTGACATGAGCATTTTGCTTGTTCATTTTCCTGGTTCAAAATATTGATGTGAAAGAACCGCTCTAAAAGCAAAGCATAATGCCTAACCAAATCGTCATAGTCTAGTTTTCTTGTAGGAGCCACAAAAGCTAATAAATTCACTAATTTCAAATATTAGTGCTTAATATTAAAAACCAAAGCTGGAATAAAATATTTACATGTTATGTAAAGATTTCTCATAGAGGAAACATACAAATAGATCTAGTCATTAGAATATATTTGACTTTTTTTTCAGGTTTTGACGAGTTAACTTGTTATTGTGGTGAATCTGTGATTTACCCCCCTGTTCCCTGTGGCACTCAGCCACCAGAGTGTAAAAAAACATGCACCAGGCCACATGACTGTGATCATCCAGGTAAGCCAAGCCATTCAGTTTTGATCGGGGTTTTTTGGGGTTTTGTTATTGATTTTTGTTTGGTGGTGGGTTTTTTTGTTTGCTTGGTTTTTTTTTTTTTTTTTAATTTGGTGTTCTTTTGATCAAAATGTAGAAAAGTGTATATAGGTCTATTTGAAAATATATATCCAAGCCAACCAGCTAAAAACTTGCAATGAAAACTACTAATGGTACTTCTCACTGGTAAAAACACTGGTGTTTTTTCTTATTAATCACAACACATTAATTGCTGTATTCCAAAGATCAAGTGCTCTATTGAAACAGTAGGATAATCTAGGGAACAGTTAGTTTCTATGTTGCTTGGAAACTCATTGGCTGATCACAAAATAAATAGTGTGGGTCGAACAGTTTCTGACAAATTTTGCCTGAGAGTATAACCCTACTCACAAGTTAGAAAACTACCTGCACTTTAATTTAGAGTGTATAGAGATTATTCACATAAACACTTGGCGTCCTAATTTTTTGTGATGCGTAATGCTTTGCATAAATTGTGTAGTTTTGCACTCCCTGTCTTCTTTAATGCATTCAACTGAAGTATATTAATAAAACTTCTATGACTTTTATTTCTGTAATTGCAGTGTACCATTCATGTCATAGTGAGGAGAAATGTCCCCCCTGTACCTATCTCACTCAGAAATGGTGTATGGGCAAGCATGAAGTAAGTCTGGGCAATTAATGTTTTTGAATACTAAACAATTTTTTACAACTGTAGGTTTGGATTTTTGTGTCATGTTTGAAATGGAGTATGTTACTGGAGTTGGAGTTTAATGTGGTTAAATTGGAGAAGTATATCTTTTATTCCATATGCATGCAAACCACCTACTGTATTGGACTATGGTATAAAACAAAACTCGTTCTTTGACCTAAGATCTTTTAGTATTAAGATTCTTATGTGGACAGTGCCAATGAAGGTGTGAACAGTAAAAGCACTTGGAGATTTCCATTGATAATTTTTACTGATAGTTGTCGTCTTCTTCCTTTCCTCTTTCAGCTGCGAAGTAATATTCCTTGTCATCTCACTGACATTTCCTGTGGACTTCGCTGCAATCAAATGTTAAAATGTGGAATGCACAAATGTAAAAGAATTTGTCATAAAGGGGAATGTCTTATAGATGAAGAATGTAAACAGCCATGTATTATTCCAAGGCTATATTGTAATCATCCATGTATGGCTCCCTGTCATCCTTCTTCACACTGCCCGACAACATCCTGCTGTGCAAAGGTTAGATACCTAAAGAAAATTCACTGCAAATTTACAGGTGAATTAAATGGTTTAATTATCAGCCAGTAACAGTTGTGACACGTTTGTATATTGATAGCATAACATTTTGTCTGTAAAATTAAAATACTGATTTTTTTAAAAAATAAAACTATTAATCACTTTTAGTTAGCCATTATTCCACTAAAATAGGCCTTTTAAAATGAATAAGTTTATATCCTTCACACCCTCTATGGCAGTAAATAGACAAAACTTAAAAAAGCTGTTCACTTATGTGATATGGCAGGTTGATCTTCAGTGTGAATGTGGAAGAAGAAAGGAGAGTATGATATGCTCCGAAGCATCCAATACATATCAAAGGTTGGTACGTTAATAATTCTTTCAATTCCTTACTGGACCTACTGCTTCACAGTTTGATTAAATTGCAGGTGGTTATACTTGACTAAATATATTTAGTTCACAAGCTTTTTTGACTTTTTTGTACTTTGACATGTGGTAGTTTTGGGGGGGGGTGGGGGGTGGCAGCAGAGGTTGATATTTCCCTGAGTTTTTATACCAGCTATGCTGTATTAGAACTCGGTTTTTTTTTTTGTTTTTTTGTTTTTTTTTTTTGCTGTTGGTATGTCAAAGCTTGACTCTTCCATATGTGGAACTCTATTTTACCCACACAGAGCAATTAGGTACAGATGAATTTGTCGAGTCCAGATTCAGGCTCCTGAATGTAGGCGATTGCAGTCCATGTGTGACTTGCTGTCCATTTTTCCAGTCATGTATGATGGAACCTAGTCAGTAGAGATGATGGATGCTGAAGAGTGATTTAAAGTAATTTTGAAATAGCTAAATTTAGGCAGGAGAGCTTTGGCATCTAAATCTTGGGTTTTAATCTTGGGCAAACTGAGCCCTACCCAACTGCATTTATTGCAAAAATCTCCAGATCCTATGTCTATACTTAATTTTCTCTCTCATAGGAGAGAGAGCAAGGAAAAGAAGAAAAGTGGGGCTTTGGAACTTTTGAAATTAATATAGCAAAACAGTAATAAAAATTTTAAAAATCTTACTCTTAGGCTGTGATTGAAAGGGAGTAAAAAAAGTTAGTCTAAAGAGTTGGTATATGATCAGAGTTCTGCTCTGTATCCTGCTTGTTAGGCAACCAAAGTCTGAGATTCTTCCTGTCTTTCAGAGAAAGTTTCTTAATGATGGGTTTATTTGGAATTGGTATCGGAGGGCCTTTTTTCATCCTAGCCCAGCTTAGGGTATGCTGCTTGGTTTCTGCTGAACACTGTCCATATTCAAGTTCTGACAGAAAATAGTTTAGCTTAGATACTTAATGCTACCTAATGAAAACAAGGAGAAAAATATGCTAATTAGAAACAATCAAGAACAGTTGTAGTCAATACTAAGTTGAATGCAAGATACATGTACAGAAGTTTGGTTTTTTTTGGTATTTTCATCACTATGAATACAAATCAGAAGACTGACTCAACGTTGAAATACCAGTTTAAATTGACAAATGCTTGTTATTAATGATAAGTTCAGAAGATAACACACAAGTCCAGATTTTTGAAGTTCTTTCTCTGCTGTTTTATAACTCAGGCACTGCCTAAATATTCATGCAAGGAAAATGCTTCTTTGAAGCCAATGAGAGATCTTGCATGTATAAGGTGAATACATATGTACTTATTTCTCTGATCAGAGCGCAAATCTAGAGGAAGGAAAACTCTTCTATTTAAAGGAGATGTTTGTATCAGTTAAAATGTGTTCATATATGCTTATAAATCACTCGTGACTTGTGGTAGTAACATGCCAGCTAAGTTTGATAACTCCAGCAGTTCAGGTTCCTGAAAGATTATTCTAATTTTGTGAAGATAAGTTTGCCATTTTTCCTACCTATCACCAAGCCAAAACAATGATAACAAAAACCATTTAAAAAAACCCACAACAAAGTAAAGGTCAGCAAATTAGGGGAATATCCAAGTTTTCTCAAAAATTTTAGAGAAATGATAAAACACCTTTGGGCGTTGTCAGTGAATGTTGGTGAAAGAATGCCCAAGGGAACAGGAAATACCTGTGCTGCTATATCTGTACATATAGCACAAATGATGTCATATCATCTAATGTCCCACTATCTAGACTTTGGCATCAACTGATTAATATGAAGTGCCTCTAAATAATTTTTTTGTTTTATGTAGTATGATTAGCCTCGTTCCTGATAGGTGGTTGGTCTTTGAATGTGATGAAAAACATAAAGAGATAAACATACAGAAACAAACATATCCTTTTATTTTAATGTAACAGAAAAGCTAATTCAAGAGGATACAATGTTTCATTTTTAGGAGTTGATTTGAAATTTTGTAGGATATTTCCATAAAAAATTCCTGTATATTTTAGTTATACAAATTTTAGCAAAGGAGACTGGGAAGACTTGATATTGAAGGGAATTAGGAAGACTCTTTATAAAGAAAATGGTAATGATTTTGGTTGGCATTTTGTCCTTTCCTTGTGGATTGTGTTAACCATATTTTCCAAACAAATTTCTAAGTACTTTATAAATTCACTTGACAGATTTTGTTGCACACAGTCAGGGAAGAATCAGATAAAATTATACTTAAAGCTGTATGGTCAGCTGTAACTTGTATAATTAGCAAGTGAGGAGAAAGAGTAGTTACCTTGCATAATTTCAGCTTGCATAAGAAGCACGTCCATTTGTTAGTGTTACTCCTAGTTGAGGTAGATGAGAGTAGACTCTGGATTTATGTAACTGGATTAGACTCCTAAGAGCTGGTGATGTAGAACTAGAGTTCCAGTCTAAAGAGAACTCTAAAAAGTCTAATGATCAGTCTGTCTTACTTCTTCCACCTAGAGATTAAATCTGCACCCTTATATACCTTTTCAGAAGTTTATGTGTTGCCTTAAATGAAATCTACTACTCTTTTTTTCAGAATAGCTGCTATATCTATAGCAACTAAGCTAACAGATCTGCAGCTTGGGGATTCAGTGGAAATCAGTAGGCTTATTACAAAAAAAGAAATGAAGCAAGCCAGGTAAGGACATACATGTAATAACATATTTGAAGCCTTTGTGTGTACCTGAAGCATAAGTGACATGCAAAATATATTAATATGGTGATAAAAATGCTAGCTGTAATACCAGTTTGACTCTACTTTAGCAATATGCTTAAAGAGTATTTTGCAGTTCTGTGGTGATTCATGGGGTTTTTTTTCATGTAGAATGAGATCTCTGTCATTGTATGGTTGATTGCTATAATTAAGTATGGGACAATACAACTGTGGTTTCAGAGTTTTTTTTCCTACTCTGCCAACTCACTGGCGTTCCTCTGGATTTTTTCAGATTTCTAGATAGGGCAATAAACTTTATCTTCTGTTTCAGCACTCCAGTGTTCCTTTCTGGATTATTGATAGGCCGTATTTTCTCCTAGTCATCATCTTAACTATTTACAATGTTTTTGTATTACCTGTTTTAGAATTTTTCATATTTGTATTTCAGTTTGATTGGTACTTCGGTGTGTCATCCTGGCTGGCACAACAAACCTGATTTTAATTTTGTGACATAAGTTTTACTGATGTTCCTCAGGACTGAAATAGCTTGTCCCTTTACTTATAGTATAATTTCTTTATGAAGTTTTCAACTTTCTCCAGCATCCATCTGTCAGAATCTTGACTTACTGAAGTCTTTGCCTTTGAAGTCCCTAATCTCTGGTTTTAGTTTATTTCTATTATCATGTCTTCTTTCTTGATATTGCATTTGATTATTTCAGAGTCAGTCTATTATGTGTGTTAAAATCTAATGTTCCTTTATATTGTGTAAAGTCAAAATAATGACATTTCCCACATAGTTGCTTCGTGATTTGCTGTACCAAAGCTAGTGCCAGTATCTTAAGAACTTTTGCTATTGTGTTGTAGTCACTAATACATATCTTTCTGTATGGACACACACTGCCCTTTCCTTGAACAGTTGAAATTACCAGAGATGGCTTTTCTTTGTACAAGTCTTTCCTAATATCATAACTGAACTGTGGTAGGTAGCCTTTGTTCGCAGAATCACTGTGTTGGAAGAGACCTTCAAGATCATCAAGTCCAACCCATGCCCTAACACCTCAATTAAACCATGGCACTGAGTGCCACATCCGATCTTTTTTTAAACACGTACCAGGGATGGTGACTCTACCACCTCCGTAGGCAGACCATTCCAGAACTTTATCACCCTTTCTGTAAAAAACTTCTTCCTAATATCCAACCTATATTTCCCTTGACACAGCTTAAGACTGTGTCCTCTTGTTCTGTCAGTTGCTGCCTGGAGAAAGAGACCAAGCCCCACGTAACTACAACCACCTTTCAGGAAGCTGTAGAGTGATAAGGTCACCCCTGAGTCTCCTTTTCTCCAGGCTAAACAACCCCAGCTCCCTCAGTCGTTCCTCGTAGGGCTTGTGTTCCAACCCCCTCCCCAAAATAGCTGCCCTTCTCTGGATGCACTCAATGGCCTTCCTAAACTGAGGGGCCCAGAACTGGACACAGTACTCAAGAGGCAGCCTCACCAGTGCCAAATAGAGGGGAAAAATTACCTCCCTGGTCCTGCTGGCCACACTATTCCTGATACAGGCCAGGATGCCATTGGCCTTCTTGGCCACCAGAGCACACTGCTGGCTCATGTTCAGTCAGCTGTTGACCAGTACCCCAAGGTCCCTTTCTGCCTGGGCACTGTCCAGCCACACTGTCCCCAGCCTGTAACATTGCAGGGGATTATTGTGGCCAAAATGCAGGACTCTGCGCCTGGACTTAGAAAAAAAAGTAATCTTATTGGGCTCTGCCCACCCATCCAACCATTCCAGATCTCTCTGCAGAGCCCTCCTACCTTCCAACAGATCAACACATGCTTCCAGCTTAGTGTTGTCTGCAAATTTACCAGTGAAAGACTCAATCCCCTCATCCATGTCATCAATAAAGATATTGAACAGAACTGGTCCCAGCACAGACCCCTGAGGGACACCACTGGTAACTGCCCACCAGCTGGATGCAGCACCATTCACCACCACTCTCTGGGCCCAGCCATCCAGCTAATTCTTAACCCAGCAAAAATGCTCCTGTCCAAGCCCGTGGGCTGCCAGCTTTTGCAGGAGTATGCTGTGGGAGACAGTGTCAAAGGCCTTGCTGAAATTCGGGTAGACAAGACCTACAGCCTTTCCTGCATCCATCAGGTGGGTCACTTGGTCATAGAAGGAGATCAGGTTGGTCTCCTGATCTCCTGATCAGGTTGGTCTCCTGATGTCCTGATCAGGTTGGTCTCTCTTTGGTTACCCCTCCTAAACCCATGCTGGCTGGGTCTGATTCCCTGGCCATCTTGTAAGTTCTGTGTGATGAGACTCATAAACTGCTCCATCATCTTACTGAGTACTGAGGTCGGGCCTATACTTACCAGGGTCCTCCTTCCCACGCTTTTTGTAAATGGGTGTCACACTTGCTTGCTTCCAGTCATCCGGAACCTCACCAGTGAGCCAGGACTGTTGGTAAATGATTGAAAGGAGCTTCAAGCTCATCTGCCAGCTCCCTCATCACCCTGGGATGGATCCCCTCTGGTCCCATAAATTTATGAACATCCAAGCGGCTCAGCAATTCTCTGACTGCCTTCTCCTGGATAACAGGTGTGCTATTCTGTTCACAGATACCACCTACCAGCCCAGAAGGACAGTTGTCCTGAGGGCAAGCCATCTTCCCACTAAGGACTGAGGTAAAGAAGGTGTTAAATACTTCCACCTCTCCTCATCTGCAGTTACTAAGTTCCCTCCCTCATCCAATAGAGAACAAAGGTTGGTCTTACCCTTTCTTTTGCCATTAGTATATTTGTAAAAACATTTTTGTTATCCTTTACAAAAGTTGCCAAATTAAGTTTGAACTGAGCTTTGACCTCCCTAATTTTTTCCTACATGCCCTACCACCCCCATTAAATACTTTCTGAGAGCCCTGACCCTCATTCCAAAGATGATACATCCTCTTTTTATTCCTAATTCCTTTCAAAACCTCGTTGTCCATCCAGGCTGAACATTTGCTTTGTCAACTCATCTTTTGGCACACAGGAACAGTCTGTTCTTCTGCCCTCCAGATCTCTGTTTTGAAGCACTCCTAGCTTTCCTGAACTCCTTTGTTTTTAAGGGTTGCTTGCCAAGGTACTCTCTGAATAATCTCTTAAATAGGCCAAAGTCTGCCCTCTGGAAGTCCAATGTAAAAGTCTTACTGAAATCCTCCTGATTTCACCAAATAGCAAGAACTCTGTAATTTCATGATCACTATGCCCCAAGTGGCCTTCAACCACCACATCTCCCACCAGCCAATCTTTGTTTGCAAACAGTAGGTCTAACATAGTCCCTCCCCTGGTGGGCTTACTCACCAGCTGCAACAAAAAGTTGTCCTCCATGCACTCTAAAAACTTCCTGGACTGCCTCTTTTCTGTTGTATTAAGTTCCCAGCAGATGTCTGGTTGGTTGAAGTCACCTACAAGAACAAGGGGTGGTGATCCTGAAACATTCTCCAGCTGCTCATAGAATAAGTTGTCCACCTCTTCTTCCATGTTGGATGGGTGATAACAGACTCCCAGTAGGATGTCAGCCTTGTTGGCCTTCCCCTTAATTCTTACCCATAGACATTCAAGTTCGTCATCATTAGTTTCAATACCCATGGGATCAAAAGCCTCCCTAACACAAAGGGCCATGCCTTCACCTCTTTTCCATTTCCTGTCTCTTCTAAAGAGCTTATAGCCATCCAGTGCAACGCTCCAAATATGTGACACCCTTCAGCCACTTGTTGACAATGTTGGCTCTCCTGCTCCTTTCACCATTTTTCACTGCCACCAAAGGGACTGAGCAGAACACTACCTGTGCTCCTGTCCTATTAACAACTTGACCCAGTGCCCTGAAGTCCTTTTTAATTTCCCTGACACTCCTTTTTTCAATCTCATCACTGCCAACCTGGAGTATCAGCAGTGGGTAATAAACAGATGGCTGAATCAGCCCAGGGAGTTTCTCAGTAATATCCCTTACCTGGGCCCCAGGAAGGCAGAAGAACCTATCCTGTGGGATAGGTTCGGTCAACATTATGGGGCCCTCTGTTCTCCTCAGAAGGGAGTCACCCACTACATCTACACTTTTTTATTAATGTCAGAGGTGGTGATCTGTCTGAATGGATCCTAGAAGAAGTGTAATTGAGAGGGCTACTGGGCAGATCATTTTCTTCTACATCATCTGGCTGACCCTGTAGATCCAGAGCCTCATACCTATTCTGAAGTGGCACCTAGGCAGGTGATGGGGGTTGGGGGGAATTTCTGTTACCTCCCCGAGTAGGGATCCATTTCCACTCCCCTTCATCCACCAGGTGTCCTCCTGTTGCCTGACAGTGGGAGTCATGGGAGTCCTCTGACTCCTGGTGGACCTCCCTCAAGGCGGAACTCTACCAAATTATTTTGCTTTCAATTTACCAATATAACATCTAGTTCAGAAGCTTTTTTCCTCAGTTCCTATACAGCCTTGGTAACTGCTGCTGCTGTTCAAGACCTAGCGAAGAGATTCGGTGCTCAAAGATCTTTGATTATTGCTTGTTTATTTATTTTTAGCTCTGTCTGTGCTAATACATACTCTTGTTACTTCTTTAGGCTGTGATAATATGACACCAACAAGCTACAGCTTGAAAGGTATGAGGAGTAGCAGTGATTCTAATTTTAGTTTTCTTTCATAATTCAGGTTGCAATGTGATGAAGAATGCTTAGCTATTCAGAGGAACAGGTGGGAAATTAACTTGCTTACTTTTTTTTAACAGAAGTAGTCTAGGTTTGGAAAGGTAATGCTATGTAAAGAAGTAATGTTTTTCTTCATGTCCTAGAGAACACATAAATGTGGAAATGATTCCTGTTATAAAGATCTATATTGAATGATCAGAAATCTTGCTAGAATATTCTATCTCTAAATGAGAAGTTTCAAATGTACAGACCATATATTTTGCAAGCTATTAATTTGTATTAATAGCCTGTAACTTAATTCTTCTATGATGTGTGGAAGGTTGGGGGGATTTATATGAGGGGTTTTTTTGTTTGCTTATGTTTTGTTATATTTTGGGTTTTTTTCCTCCTACCCTCAAATTTAGGCGCCTTGCTGAAGCTCTTGAAATAGATGATAATTCTGATCCTTTTAAAATCCGTTCTTCTGGACCAAAGTACAGTGACCTTTTAAAAGAAGATGCAAGGTTTGTGTTTTAGTGATGGCAGCTGACATAAGTCAGCAGTGTTGAAAGCAAGATGGGAAATGCAGAACAGTTCTATTTACTCTTCTTAAAAATAGCTGCCTTGGCATTAGAAGGCAGTTAAAGCAAAGAAGTTGATATGCACTTCTCAAGATCTCCCAAATGAGAACCTGAAAAGTAAGAAGTGCCTGACAGGTTACTTTTTTTTGGGTAATAGGACCAGATTTAAAATGGTAACATTATTTTACACGATTCTCACTATGAATCAGTACCTGTACTTCTCACATTTCTACTGCTGTTACTGAGAACCAACTTCTACCTCAGAGCTCCATTTCAAAACAAAGACAAAAGTGATGACTAAATAATTAAATTATTATTATAATTATAAAATTTAGACTCTCATAGCCTAGTGTTCTTTCTACCAGGTACCATTTATTTTTTTTACCTTACTGCTTTTATTTTAAAAATAAAGAAATGAAATTATTAAATGTTGGATGCAGAGCAAAGCCTGTGCCAATGTGACTGCATAGAGGGTTGCTAGACTGAAACATCTTAAAATGAGGCAATGTGAAATCAAGGTAATATCAAAACCACCACACCAATAAATACTTTGTAATGTGGAATGAAAGGAAGGGATCAGACACATTTTTAAAAGATGTTAAGATGATGTGTCATCTGAGAGTTTTTACTCTTGTGTGTGTTTGTAGACATGACATTAGTTTTTACCAGGTCTAAGTTTTGTAGAACAGCTTAGTATGTTTTCTTCTTCCTCCAGTATTCTAATGCTGCATAAATTTCATTGTTTTGTAAGGGTGTTTGCTACTTGAAAATCCTTTATTTGATTTGCTGATATTTTGAAATAAGTGAAAATTTTACAAAAGCAACCATTCAGAATTTAAGAGTAAGTTACATCTTCTTACTTCCAACTGATAAACCTACTGCAAAATAGGAGCTGAATGTTTTCATTGTGGGGCTACTGTTTTATTAGTATTTGCATTTAAAAGTACTATTTTGTAGGGACTATTCTCTTAGTTCTGTGTAGAATATGTTTTGCTTCATCTTCTTCAGAAAACACAGCACACACTTTCAGTACAATAAGAAGGGGAAAGTTTTGCACTGTGTGTATAGTCTACTGTGTAGTCTACTGTGGTTTATTTGGAGTACAATTCTGTCTCGTCTTTCTGCCAGCCACTACCCATAATGCAAGTGTTCATCTTTCATGTACAGAACTGACCAGGACCATGCACTGTGCTGCAGATGATTGAACAGATACCTTGAAAAGCAGTCTTAATGCTTTCACACTCCTCATTCTTTCTGTGATTTTACTTGTTTTTCCTTTGTAGCCTCTTTACACTGGTGATTTACAATAAACAAATACACCAAGGCTATTCTTACTGAGTCATAGCGAAAGCAAAAGTTTTTCTTAATCTTCAAGTAAATTACTTTGTACATTGAATTACTGTATTTCATTTATCCAGTTTTAAAGATAAATGAGTTTCTACTTACAGTAACATAGCTCTCTTTACAAGAGCAGCAATCTGCAATTTGTGAATCTATGGCTTTATGAATTTTCTTCCTTGACTGCTCCTGATAACCTTTTGTCTCAGTAGTCTAGCAAAAGTTTTGGCTGTCCATCAAGATGGCAGGATCCAGATATTGTATCTATTACAGTATGTTTTTCAGGTGGCTCAGTATTCTGAACAGTATTCTGAATAATTTCTGACAGATTAATTTATTCTTGCTTGAGTGCATCACTCCAGTAATGCAGGAGTTCAGGGCTTTCTACAGAGCATAAGTTATATGTGGGATCTTAGAATGATGGAGAAACATGACACAGACATCCCTGTGCATGCAGAGTCGCTGCCTCAAGAAGGTAGCAGCTACCAAAGTCATTACTAGAATGCTATATTATCTTCTTTAGGCAATTAATTGGTCTGTGTAGCCAATACATTGACAAGAGCTGAAAGAAATATATACCTAAAAATGAAGAAAACTTGAGAAAGCTCTAGGAACTCCTGATTTTGAGGTGTAATCCTTAATTACAGAATCCTAAAGCTCCCAAAATGCAGTACAACTCCAGGTAACAGGAAGATAAGTGAGTGTAAGCATGCTGAGATAATATGTCTCCTTTGTAGGACAGTGGCAGGAGAAGGGGGCAGCAGGAAGAGCATGGTAATGTTAATCTTGCTGATGTGTTTGTCAGGATCTGATAAGGAGTCAAAGGAAGTCTCTCCACCCTATAGCTTTACATGAGGAGATATTCTGCTGCCAAGGGGAATCCATCTTGTAGCATGCAGATGGCTACCAACTGAGCACAGATCAGGGGGTACAAATCCACTGGCAGGACACCTCAGCACTGACCTTTCTAAGAAGCTTCAGAAATACATATAGAGAATAAGCAAGTGCTCAGGTTGATCTGTTGACATGGAGGATAGATCAGCACAAGTATCAATGTCTAATTGGACATTGATGATGTTGAGGGTGCTGTTTGATGAATTAAAACTACTGGAGAAGGAGAGAACATCTGGAGTATCTGGAGAAGCCACCTGAAGCTACACAGAAAAGAATTTTGTTATTGGCTGTGCAAGACACCATTGTATGGACCATGAAAATCTCTGGTTTTATAGGCTTCTGAAGGGCATTTGTATTTGGTTTTGGTTTTTTTGGGTTTTTTTAATGTATCCTCCAGTGTGTTAGCTGGTTCATTAGTATGCTTTTAAATATTATATACCAGATGCTTGTGGACCCTCTCACTGGATTGTTGATACATGTGTTTTACCTGCCATGATCACTTCACCTTGAAATTTGGGTGTTTCTAGTGGGCTTGGTTAGGTTTTTTTATTGTTGAGTTGAGTTTTGTGTTTGGGGATTGGGGTTTTTTAAAACTTCAAATTATTGCTGTAATATTTTTTCCAAAGCCTAATGCCATATGAGCTGACTCTGTATTTCACACCATAGGTGTCTGGAGGTCGATTTCTTTTTAACTCTACCCAGTTCAGGTCCTTTTTCCAATTTTCCCAGTGTTATACTTCTGTCTAATGAAGACCAAGGAATTCTCGTAGCTACATGCAGTGCCTGTGTATTCTTGCTAAACCTTGAAGGTTTGTTTACTAGTGATGGGCTAAATCCATCGTATCTTGTAGTGTCTGATGCCCCATGTGTGGAGATGCAAGCTCTGACTCCATGTTTTCAGAAGGCTGGTTTATTATATTATGATATATATTATTATATTAAAATACTACATTAAAACTATACTAAAAGAATAGAGAGAAAAAGATTGATCAGAAGGCTTAAAAGGACAAGAATAGAATGAATAACAGACTTGTGACTCCCCGAGAGTCTGAGCCAGCTGCATCTGTGATTGGCCCTTAATTAGAAACAACCAACATGCCCCAATCACAGATGCACCTGTTGCATTCCACAGCAGCAGATAGTTATTGTTTACATTTCTTTCCTGAGGCCCTCAGCTCCTCAGGAGGGAAAAATCCTAGCAAAGGATTTTTCATAAAATATCATAGCTACAGTATCTGATCAAGTGATCTTGGTAGCTGAGCTATTCAGTGTTGTCATTTTGCACATTTGTTTGAGACCATTTTTATGGTCTTTTGGTGATACATCGACTTCAGCACCCAGAACTTTGTTATGTCATCTATAAATGATGGTTGTACTTCCTTTGGTAGGCACTTCTTAACTGGTTAAATTCTGACATCATTCACAAGGTAGTACTGTGTTGGTATGGAGTAATGCCTGGTTTTTGAAGAATTACTTACTACTATCCAGCTTTGAGATACGAAATCTTCATGTAGCCTTTTTTCCCCATGGAGATGGTGGCCTAACAAATAGCAACCTTACGTTTAAAGTTAATTTACCTGCTTATTTAAGGACAGAGCACAAAATTCACCCTTAAGTGAAAGACTTGAAGTACTGTGATGAAGATAGTTACCAAAAAATACTTCAAACAAATCCTTAGTATCTCACATCAAGAATGTTTTATTTGCTTGCCAGTAGCCTTATGCTGCTTCTTGAATTTTTCATCATTTTTTATGCATGGGGGGCTGAAGACCAAAGTCAGTGAACTTTGTCTTGGAAAAGAACTCCACTTTGTTTACCCTATCCCCATTTTTATGTCTCCTCATATATTGTAATTAAGTAAATTAATGACACATAATTTAAAAACACCAAAATGGACACTTCAAAATTTACATTATTCATTTGAAAACATAGAATTGTATTGTCAGATGGTAGAACCATGTCATAGAATTTTATTCTTGGTCCCAGTTGTTGAAAAGGAAAAAATTATTTTTGTAATAGTGATGACACACTAACAGTCTTTTAATGTGAATGAAGCTTTTGCTTGAGTCATTTTTGTTCTTGGTTTTTTTTCATTTTGTTCTTGTTGAAAAATACTACAAAATCTAAAGATATTTTATCTTTGTACACTTTCTTGCCTTGTTAACCTAGAATGCTGTTCTTGCAGGAAGGATATAAAATTTGTCAGTGACATTGAGAAGGAAATGAGAATGCTTGTGGAAGCTGTGAATAAGGTCAGTATTCATATGTGAGTTTGATATTACTAAACATTATTAATACTCATAGTTACGAGTTGACACTAGATCTTTTTGGACTCCAGTATAGTGCACAGTTTATTGTAAAAAGAACAAAATTTTTGGGACACCTAGTAGTTCAGGATTACTTTGGTGCCAAACCTTGCTTAAGGATTCAAGCAGTGCTAGGCTTTAATGCATCAATGGTTTATCATCAATTTTTGGATCTCCATTAATAAAATATTGTCAAAGATGATGTTTAAACATTCAGACTTTGAGAAGGAAAGCCTAGGTACTTCTGATCCCTGTAGGGGAACTTGCTTACAGATTTTTGGATACCTTCCTATACTTGCCAGTGCACGAGATTGTCCTCTTTCTTCTATAAGAAAACCTGGATTCAGCCACAGTGTTTGACAGACTCCAGTATACTTAGGGAGGTTGGTACCACAGGCACAATCATATGTTTTTCAGTGATACCACCTTCCTGTCTGTCAGGTTAGCTTGCTGCTACTCCATGAAAGACCCAGTATATATGGTTCAAAGGACTGTGTAAACTATACTATCCTCAGTTGCCCTTAGCTCAAGGAGTTAATCTTCTATAAAAAGCATAATTTTGACCCCCCTAGGCCCTAATGACAGTTACTTCATTCCTTCAAAAAATTATGGATGGTGTTTCTTAAACAGTCTTGGTGCTTGTCGATCTGTATAATGTTCTTGGCCATTGTTTTTGTCATTAGAATGGAAGACTAATATGAGTCAGTCTGTGTCTAGTTATCAAAGGGGTCCCAGTGGGGTCATCCAGTCCAAGCTCCGAGCTCAAGCAGGGTCATCCTAGAGCACATTGCATGGGACAGTTCTGTAATATCTCCAGTGAGAGAGACTCCACAGTCTCTCTGGACAAACTGTTTCAGTCCTCAATCACCTGCACAGTAAAGAAGTTCTTCCTTATGTTCATGTGGAATTGCCTGTGCATCAGTTACTTACTCCCTAATGCCTCCTTTCTTGTTGGTTAGTACTATTAAGTGGCCACCTATTAAGTGGCCAACTATTAAGCTGCCTGGCTCCATCCTCCTGACACTCTATCTTCAGATACTAATTGGCAAAAGAAATAATAATAAATAAAATTATATTTGTCATCTCTTCTTGAGGCACAATAGGCCCAACTTTTTCAGCCTGTCTTTGTGAGATGGTCCAGTCCCCTGTCATCTTTGTAGCCCTCTGCTGGACTTGCTCCAGGCACTCCATTCCTCTCTTGTACTGAGGAGCCCAGTACTGGACACAGAATTCCAGGTGAGGCCTCATGAGGGCTGAGTACAGGAGCAGGATCACCTCTCATGACCTCCTGGTCTCATGACAGCTTGTTGCCTACCAGCACCTCCAGATCCTTGTCTGAAGATCTGCTTTCCAGCAGGTCAGCCTATACTGGTGCATGAAGCTCTTCTTCCCCAAGTGCAGGTCTCTGTACTTGCCTTTAAAGAATTTCAGAAGGTTCCTCTCTGCCCATCCCTCCTGCCTGCTGAGATACGTTTGAAGGGCTGCACAATGCTCTGGGGTGTCAGCCACTTCTCCCAGCCTTGGGTCATCAGTGAACCTGCTGAGGAGATATCTGCCCCTTCATCCAAGTCACTGAAGAATGAGTTAAAACAGTATTAGAGCCAGTACTGACCATTGGGGAACATCGCTAGTTACAGCTGGACTCTCTGCCATCTCAGAGATCACAGTCCTCTGAGATCTGCTGTTCAGCCAGTTTTCAGTACACCTCACTGTCCACTCATCCAGGTTGCACTTTGTGAGTTAACCTATGAGGGTGTCAGAGGACACAGTGTCAAAAATCTTCCTGAAGTCCAGGTAGACAATATTCAGTGCTCACGCCTTATCTATCCAGGGGATAGATAGTTGTTTTCTTGTACAGTCAGATTGGTTAAGCATGATTTTCCTTTGCTGGCTCCATACTGACTAATCCTGATCACCTTCCTGTCATCCCACAATGACCTTGAGAATGAACCATTCCCATCACCTCTTCAGATACTGATGTGAATCTGTGTGTTGGTTTTGCATGGACTGGTTTTTGGTAGTGGGGTGGGTGTCACAGAGGTGGCTTCTGTGAGAAACTGCTAGAAACCTCCACTAAGTCCAGCAGAGCCAATCCCTGATGGCTCTGAAGATGGATGTGCCACTGGCCAAGGCTGGGCCAATTAGAAATTATGGTAATTTCTAATTACCTTTGCAATAACTTATTTAAGAAGAAATCAAAACAAGGGTGGTGTCACAGTTTTAGTTCCAGCTAGATAAGAGGAGGAGTTGAAAGCTTGTGAGGGAGACAACATGGTGACACCAAGGTCAGTGGAGAAGGGTGGGCAGGAGGTGCTTCAGGTGCCAGAGCTGCAATTGCTCTGCAGGCCATGATGATGCCCATAATGAAGCAGGCAGCCTTGCAGCTCCTGGAGTTCCATGGGGGATGCAGAGATCCATCTGCAGCCCACGTGGGAGGTGCCCACAGCAGAGCAGGTGAATGTCTGGAGGGGACTATGATCCAGTGGGAGAGCTGGTGGACAGAAGGACAGAAGGGGCCCCTGCTTTCCAGCTGGAGCAGCCTGTCCTTGGAGGACTGTTTGCCTGTGGAAGAGTGACCTCAGTTTTAGAAGGACTGTTTGCCCATGGGAGGAATTTACATTGCAGCAGTGCTGTGAGGACAGCTGCTTGTGAGATTGGAACCATGCTGTAGAACTTCATGGAGAACTGTCTCCTGTGGAAAGGGACTCCTTGGTCTCACAGGGGAACCACTTCTCTCCTTGAGCCAAGTGGAAGAAAAGGGTGATGAATTGACCAAAACCCTCACCCCTGTCTCCCTGGGCAGTGGGAAGGATGGAGTGGTTGGGAAAAAAAGCCCTTAAAACCACCTTTTTATTTCTCATTATCCTGCTCTGGTTTTGTTATTAATAAATTCACTGTGTCTTAAGTTGAGCCTATTTTTCCCTTGGAGTGTTTTCTTCCGGTCCTTAACTTGTGAACCTTCATTAAATTTTCTGTCCTCTGTCCAGCTGTACCAGGGGAGGGTGAGTGAGTGGCTTTTCATGGGTGCCTGCCGTTTGGCCAGTGTCAAGCCATGACAGACTGACTAGCCTCTAGTTCCTCAGAGTCCTTCTTGCCCTTTGAGAAAGACCGGGGTGATGTTTGCTTTCTTTCAGTTTTCATGCACCTCTCCTGACTACCATGACCTTGCAAAGATGATCATAAGCAGCCTCACTATTATGTCCACCACTGTGATGTCTCTCAGCAGTAATGGATGCATTCCATGAGGCACCATGGACTTGTGGATGCAAAGAAGGTGTTCACATACTCCATCTTCTCTTGTGTCCTCTTACTAGGGTCCCCCCTCTGTTTGGTAGTAGGTGCACATTATCCTTAGTTTTCCTATTGTTATTGTTTATGTATTTGAAGCCCTTCTTTCTGTCCTTGTCATAATTGGCCAGATGTAATTCTAGATGAGCCTTGGCCTTCATTGTCTCATTTCTGCTTACTCTTACAACTTGTGTTCATCCCAAGTGGGCTGACACTGCTTGAGTCTCCCGAGTATTTACTGCTTGAATATTAACAGGAGTTCCTAGTTCATTTGTCTCATGCCTCCTGTGCTCTATTTCTTGTTCATTGGGGCACAGATTATGCTAATTATACTCAGGTCCCTCCAACCTCAGACACTTGGAAAGTAGATGCATAGAATAATTTTTTGTTACCTATGTTGTTTTGCCTAAGAATAATTTGCATAGTGTTGTGTTGCTTGTGGTTATCCTATTGTACATATTCCTTTGTACATTAGCTTTATCAGACACACATATGTACACAAGTGTGTACACATATATACTTTCTTCATATAATTCCATATACCAAATATATGCTTATACTAATACCAAACTAAGATATCTAATTATATTTAAAAAGGGGCAACCAGAGGTCTTGAATTTGCAATTAGTGACATCAAATATGCCAAAACAAGAGTACTAGAGAACTCAAGAGCATTTCCAGTGTTTTAGTTTTCAGTGCAAACCAGCTGTTTGTTAAATAACCATCCTACAAAGCAGACAAATAGTGTATGTTAAGTAGCATCTACATTGCAGAAGAGAAGAAAAATACAAAAACAAACCACATCTCAGTCTTTTCCCTGCCTGACCTAAGGGGAGAATGACCCAGTGTACCCATCTTCCATCATGATCAGGATGAACCGTTTAGGGCCACATGATAATTGAATATCTCAAGGAGCAGTTCTGTACCGTCCTACCCATCAGGCTGTAGGGAATTACTATTTCCTAAAAGTATGAAAGTTTCCAGAAAGCTCCCAGAAATCAAGTTATGTTTCAAAAGGGAGGAGATTTCCCAGGGACTGAGATGAGGCTGAGCAGCCTGTCCTATGTCCTCCTAGTCTGTCTTGAAGCTAAAGTGACAGCATGTGTGGAGGCCATACTCCACCTCTTTTTGTTCAAAGTTGTGGCATATAGGATGTAAAAGGGAATATTTCCCATGCACTGTAAAGTTAATTTGCCCTTGTACTCAGTTCTTCTTGCATAACTTTTTATTTTTGTGAAAGACTCAGAGACTTTGTCTCTCTTGTGAGAATCATGTTTTATCTTGCAACCAACAGGTTTATGTAGCGAAAGATTGAGTTAATATGTTTGATGTGGCATTATGCAGGGAGACTGGTTTTAGTTGTTCTTCTGCCATGATCTCAAGTCCTCTTCTTAAGACTTCCTTGTGCTTCAGTCTGTGTTTGGTTGTTTGTTTATTATGATTCCTAAATTTCTCTGACTGAATATGTGCCTTGTTTTCTTTGTTTCTAGATGTAGAATGTTACTTTTATTAAAAGTATTTTGCATGGTAATCTATCAAATGTTTCATGTAGCTCTGCCTGTATCAGTACTATGTCTTTCCTACTGATTACTGTTACTTAGGCTTACACATTCTGCTTCTGCTTTTAATTTTTTTTTCATTTTACCATTGGAGATGCCCACTTCAGCTTAACTGGATAAATGAATAATAAAAAGGATTTTGATACTGAAAGGTTTTAGCATTAATATGATTCAGCATTAATATTTTTCAGCTGTCTCTCATATATGACTTTGCTTGCCTCATAAATATCTTGCCCTACACTCACCAGTATGTACTCTATCTAGCATAGCAGAGTCTTCATGGTTGATGTATGTAAGCAGAAAAGACAGAGGACGTGTATATCCAGTTCTGTGTTCATAGGGACAAGAATTGTGATGTTTTTCAGAGCATGGACCCATCACCACTTTTTTAAAACAAGCACACTAGTCATCATAAATAGGTGCAGAATCTATAGAGTTCTTCAATTATTATATCTATGCTGGAAGTGTTGTAATAGCTGGGAGGTTTATTACTGTTAATTGCAAAGTAAAGATAAGATTCTGTCAGCATGTGATTACCCTGAAGACTTACAGAAATGGTTGACCACAGTTTCTGGTCCAGTTACTATTTGTAACTTAGCAATTTCATAATCTAAGAGACAAATATTAACTCTCTATTTTCAGGATAGCTGCAATGTACCCTTGGTGGCTTGTTCTGTTACATGTGGTGATTTTTACATTAATTTTGGTGGCTGACCTTTTGTAAATCCCCACTAATTGTTCCCAGGGATTTTTGTCCTCCATGTAGCTAAAAATGGATTTGAATTTTAGCTGATCAGCCAATAGTTCTTGGGTTCTTTCTGTTTGTTTGTTTGTACCTTTCTCTAGCCATTGGGTTCCCACCCCATTCTTACAATCTTTTAGAGGTGGCGGAGAGAGAAGTGGGATATCTCAGTAACCTTAAATGCTCTGCCTGCAGTTCTAGGAACTTACAGAAGTTGGGCTTTCTCCAGAAGTCCCTGACTCAAACTTATTCTACTACAGGTAGTTTGTTTTCCTCTTGAATCCTTTCTGGTGACCTAGAAGACTTCATTGGTGATCATGAAGGCAAAAGCTGAAGCAGTGCCCACAATCTGTGAAAGCAGACTGAAGCACTGAGTTGACGCATTCTTATATGCATTTGTTGTTACAAATGGATCCAAACCCGTTAAGGACATGGGCTCGTAGGGTCCTGCTTTTTTGTTTGTTCTTTTACTGTTGATAAAATAATCAGTGCTGAATCAAGCATTATCAGTCTTTATTAACAGATAAAAAATAGAACTTTGGGTTTTATTTAATAAAGAATCTACTGATGACATTACATGAGGAACTTGCAGATAAATAGCTTCTTTGGTAGAGGGAAGTGATTGATAAATTTGACATCTTTGTAGCTATCTGCAGTATTTGTATTATGAAGCCAATCTGCAAAATAAAATTGGATCTGATGTGAACTTGGCTGATCATTTTAAAAAATATAAATTCTGATAAAAATAATTTTGTGTTGTTTTTCGGAATCTAAGTAGAATGACTGTAATCAGGATTTACATTTCAAACTTAAAAGATATCCCTATGTGGGCGTGTGTGAACTTTGAGGTGGTGGAAACAACAGAGAACATAGAATTTAATTTTGGGGTATTAAATTAATAATTTCAGATGAGCTTTCTGTCAATACAGAGGTCTGAGCAATTTGTGGTGTTGATTTTGTCATAACAGCAAAATTTTAGAGGTAGAAGCACTTTTTTCATTGTTTTCTTTCCCCTGGCTCTCCTGAAGGAAAACTTCACCTTTTTTTTTCTTTTTTTTTTTTTTCTTAACCTTTTCTGTTGAATTCAGGGCAAGCACACAAAGAAGAGTCATTGTTACCCACCAATGAACAGAGATCACCGCAGAATCATCCATGAATTAGCTCAGGTTTATGGCATTGAAAGTGTGAGCTATGACAACGAACCAAAGCGCAATGTTGTTATCACTGCAGTGAAGTATGTAATTCATTGTTGCTTTCAAATCTTTACAGTATAGTTTAAATAATTGGATGAGTTTTTATCACTTACCAGAAGGAGTTTGTTTACAGTGCAATTTGCAAAATGCAGTAATTACCAGTAGAATTATTTTTAAAGCAGTTTTTGATTTGATAGTTTCATGGGCTCACTCAAGTAAATCTTCAGAGAAGAAAACACCATTAGAAATAAAAAAGCTAAGAAAATATTTTGCAATATTGTTTTCCATTAATCTTACCAGTAACTTTTTGTCATCAGCTAGATTTGATAGAGGTATCAAAAATAATGTATGTAATAAAATTTTATGAAAACTAATTGCTGGGTTGAGAAATCGTACTTAAATTTACACCACCTTTCAAAAAATCTGGTTATTGTAATGTATTTCTCCATCTATATGAACCTATCACAGAGTATACTTCCTCTTTAGTTAACGGACAAAGAACAGGAATTACTGCAAATGGAAGAGACTTTGTAGCAAAAATGAAATGTTTTGGAGAACACTCACAGAAGGCAGTTCATAGTAGGAAGGAAAATGAAGGGAATACAGCTAGGAAAAAACCTAGAGACTAGAGACGTAGTATGGGAAGGTTTCTCGTATCAGGGCTTCATTGATTGTGCTCCTTACTCAGCAGCATATTTAGTTTAGTGCTGTCAAATTTTGACTATTTAACAACCAGTTGTTTTTAACTCTAAATGTTGACTGCAGTTGTAAGAAGTCTCTCATCTTCCATGCTATAGAGTGCCATGAGCTATTCCTGAACTTGTTCATCAGTTGGTAGCTTAGCTACAATCTTGATTTCTTCCAAGAGAGATGGAACATTACTTTGATCTTACAGTGCAAGATACTTTTTGTTTCAAGTGTGGGAAGGCCTTCCTCTGTATGGTTTTAGGACAGATTGCACACTTGTTCCTTCTCTTGTGTTTCTCAGGGAGTAGCGTACTGTGCAGAATGCAAATGCTTCTATTTCATTACTGCCAATCTTAAAAGACTCTTGAGTGGTCTGCTGAGACTAGTCTTCAGCTGCATAGCAGTATTTCTTAATTTAATGGATTATTCTAAAGTTTCTTTTAATTTTCTTTTTATTTTTCACTTCTTTAAAACATAAAAAACATTGTAGCCTCACATGAGTAATAGCCCATGTTCTAGGATAATGTTTTTGAGTATTTCACAATGGCTTCTTCAACTCTCAGAGCTAGTAATCACCAGAAAGTCAAAATGGTTTTGTTTCATTCTGTCTCAGCAATGCCTTTGTATTTTTATCACGGGCTCTTTCATGTATAAATAAATGAAACTTGTTCAAGCAAAAAGACCATTCCTTCTCTTCACACTCGACTGTTGCATCATTCAAATGTTAACATCCCTACTCAAGTCCATTAGAAGGGTGAGAAAGTCTCCTTAGTGCTAAGAAAGCTTCCTCCAACCAGGCTTCTTCCTATTCCGGAGATCTAGGGGCAAACTTTGCCCTCAGCCTCTGCCTCCATCACCATCAGTAAAAGCTGGTCATATTAGCTGCATTAGAATCACTATGTACAGCATTGTCCATATAACCACAGAGAGGATCATTCTCAGTATTGATTGTTAAGCTTAATCTGAATTACCGTTCTGGGTGTCATTTGTCAAGTGCCTTTCTCTGTGCTTGCCTGATGGCCATCTTTGCAGTCACCATCTTTTGAATGGTTGCAATACCAGATGCTTTCTAAACAAGGTTTAGAAGTAATAGCTATACTGTTGTGATGAGAATGGTAAAAATTTCTTTTCGAAGTACACACTTGTGTTTCACTGTACCTGTCAGTGTTTTTTTTTAAGTTTTTTACTTAGATGGGTAAAAATTTCCTCCTTCTCCAAATAACTCTCAATTCCAGAGCCTGTTAAAGGGGTGCCTGCTTGTTTTTATGTAGTGGCCAGTGTTTAAGCAGTGTGTATTGACTTGAGAAATCCTAGAAGTGGTTTTGAGGGCAGTTATTCCTGAAAGACTGATCTTTTTCCTGTTACTTCCAGGAAGAACATTAGGATCAGTTTTATCTCATGAACAAGGGGACTTCTCAAGAAGGTGATAAGTCCCTCATGGTTCTCACTGAGAAAGCTACGTGCTATTGTAGTTTTATTGCCATGTCCTGTGTTTTGTTTTTTTTTCTCCCAAGATTTTATTTCCTTTCAGTTAGGTCAGTCTGAAAATGGTTTTGAAATGGTTACCTAGATGTAGGCTATACAAAATTAGCAAAATCAAAGACCTAAAGAAATTAAACCCCCTGTAACCACATGGAACATCCTTATTAGATTATGACAGTTGCATCAGAGAAAGAAAGCACTGCATATCCTGGTACATTTAAGTACAAATACTGCTCTAAGGTCACCAGCCAAGGTGGTTTTAACAGCAGTCCTGCTTCAGAAGAAAGCTGCATCTTGTTCTTACTGTTTTTTTCCTTAACTTGTTGACATTGTTTGCCCTGAGAATAGTATGTGTTACTTCTGGAAAGCTTTTAACATAGAATATATGAAGTTAAAACAATCAGGAGATTGTTAAAGAGACATTTTCTTCATTATTCCACCTCAGCTGCTACCAGTTTTTGGAGACATTTTTCACAAAAATATGCTCTTTTTGAAAGATGGTGGCACATTTTTGCAAGACTACATGGAATAAGTCTAAACAGATTGGTGGACAAAGAATTTTGTAGTAGTTCATACCAAAACAGTTCAATGCTGATCCATCCTGTAGTTACAAAAATTGAGCTTGAAGTCTTGAAGAAGACAAATTGAATCATGATTTCCACATTTCGGTTTTATACAACAGGCCATCCTGTCAGCACTAGCACTGCCATAAAATCAGCAAATGGTTTATGTTCATGCTTTTCCTTGTACTGCCATTAAAAATGTGTCATCTCAACTTTGTTGCTTGAGGCAGGCACTTGGTTTTCCTTACTTTGAGAATAAGTTAATGAAATGAAGAATGGCAGCTTTCATATCAAAATGTCCAAAATACTTGCAGAGCCTTTTGTTTTCATATCAACAGTTCTTTCACAACTGATGATGGATAACCATGGTTAGGTAGGGTCTGCTTTCTTTCTTATTTCTGGTAATTAATTAATCAGAGGGGTTTTTGTCATTGTACATCTGTTTAGTTGAATTCAGTTGTTTGGGGTTTTTCCACATGGGCTAAATGTGAGTGGCTGTTTAATCTTTTTTTTTTTTCCTTTAACCAATCAATGTGCCACCAGTGTATACAGAAGGTGGTGTTAATTTTGCTGGAGTGTAGGTTTATAGATTTTTGTCTCTAAATTCCCTGTGGGCTTTTGGTGTGTTTTTTGTTGTTGGGGGTTTTTTGTGGTGGTTTTTTTTTTGTTGTTTTGTTTTGTTTTGGTTTTTTTTTTGGTGTTTTCTTTGTTGTTTTTTTTTTTTGTTTGTTTGGTTTTTTTGTTTGTTTTGTTGGTTTTTTTAAAAATTTTCAAATTTTGTTTTGTGTGGGGTTTTGGTTTTTTGGGGTTTTTTTTGTTTTTTTTTTTTTTTTGTTTGGTTTGGTTTGGTTTGTTTTTTTGAGGGATGCTGAATTTTGTCAAAGCTAAAACATGTCTAGGCCTTGATGTGACCAAAGCAAATTTGGTTCCAGGGTCATATCTGATTGTTCACAAGGCTTTGATCCCTCCTGATTTTTAAAGGTTTGCTATATTAACTTTCTACATCCTGGGAACATACAACTTTAGAGCAGAACTGCTGATTTACTTTCTTGAAATGTAGGAACATTCTCTTTTTTCAGTAAGATTTTTTTTAGCTAATTAGTAGAAATTACTGCCACATGTATTCTTCCAAGTGTTTCGTTCCCAGCATCTCAGAGCCGTTATTTATTTTTTTTTTACTACAAGTGAAATATAGTCTGATATTCTAGAGTAAGGACAGACAGTTTACTTTAATTGTTGAAGGCCTATCTAGGCTTTCTTCTTTTTTTGCTTAATTACCTCCAGCCAATTTTCTTTCCATGTTTTTGCATGTCACAGTTGATAAAAATGAAAGACAACAGAATATCCTCCCATCTACCACTGTTGTCTTTTTCCACTTAGAACTCTAGGGTTGAGTTGTAACTGAAATAGTAGTGTGAACATTTGACTTTATATGGTAGGCTTAGAGCTAAAGGAGAAAAGGACTTTTTAACTGTTTTAGACAGGAGAGGAAGATCAGCTGTTTTCAATTGATAGGGCTGTAATATACTTGTTGTTAGAGTGTACATGTAAACACAATATAACCTTGAAAAAATTATGGCCAGTGACAAGTAACTTTTTTTCCAAATAATGAAAACTTTAACTGTTGGGGCGATGGGAATGCTTTTTTAATTGGTCACCTATGTTTGCAAGATCTTGTAGTTCATTGGAATGTTATGTCAGTACTCAGTTTAAAACAATACTGAAAGGGGCTCAGGAATCACCACTTAATATTTTAGTGGACTTGACCTTGAAAATGTGGAGTTTTTCATCTGTGTTGCCACAGTATCACAAAAATTTGCCGTTAAATACAGATTGATAGAAACAAGATACTATTAAATAAGATGAAGATAACGGAAATAAGACAAATACATAATTTTTGTAAGCTCTGAAATAGAATTTGCATTAATCTGGGTACTGATGTGAGATTTCAACTGCTCAGGGAAATGGGGAAAAAGTATGAGTTATCAAGTACATGACAAAGCATGGAACTCAACACATTTCTGGAATTACAACAGTATGCAACCCATTGCTTTGCAGCATTGTTCCTATTCAGTATGTAATTTTGAAAGATGCATATGTTGGTATTGAGTAGGAATTTAATGTAATTACCAATTACCAATTGAGTGGGAATTTAATGTAATTACCAAACACAGAGAATCTCATTATCTGGAGGAGTATATTTAAAATGCATTAATAAAGTAAATAAGGAGGAAACATCCTTATTTAGTGCTTGACACAGAATTATGTAGGTTGGGAAAAGACCCATTTTGTCCAGTAGTGCTATCAAGTCTACCTACCATTAAACCAAGTCCCTAAACATACCTACACATCTTTTAAATACCTCCATGGATGGTGACTCAACCACTTCCCTAGGCAGCTTGTTCCAATGCTTGGCAACTCTCTGAGTGAAGAACATTTTTCTAATACCCAATAAAAACCTTTCAGGAATGCAGTTTGATTCAGTGTACGAGAAGTAGTTTGGTCTGAAAATGTCAGTAGCATGGGTATAGAAGAAAGTGCAAAAAATTTACCTTGATGAGATTTAAGAATTTTAATTTATTCAGGCTTATCTGCCTCCAGATAAGATGAAGAAGAAACAGTGAATGGGAAAGATGCTAACAGTGGAAGCTGTTTCAGTCTTGCAGTTAAATCATCCAACTGAAATAAGACAAACTCACTCTTGAAAAGTGGCTCATGAATTCAGAGGAAATTTTAAGAGATCTCCACAGCCTATTAAAGATAGTGTGTTTGGTAATTATTCGGACTTTTGTTTTTTGTTTTTTTTTTTCAGTTAGATGCCTTTTGGAAAGATCTTTCTAGGACTTTTTTATTTTTTCCTGGCTGTTGGGGGTTGTTTGTTTCCAGATTTTTTTTTAATATATATAGCCTTCCTCTTTCTCCAGCCATTGCAGCCTTTAGGCAGAGATTGCCAACTGAAGTTGAGTGTGATTCACAGCCTAAAATACATACATATACATGCTAAAGTACATTGTCCTCCTGTACTGGAGAACTTACTGCCCTGTAACCATAGCCATGGGGTGACCCTTAGACCGCAGATGGGACAGGCACAAGTGTGATGCTTCATTGTGTGGTGGCCATGACATATTAGATTGTAATTAGCATGGAGGACAGAAGAAGCTGATTTTGTAATTTGCCTGCTCTAACGCATAGTGTTTTTTTCTGATCTGATTCACCTGGAACTGCTTACAAGGAAGAAGCAATGTTGTTTGAGAGAGTGCCTCTTAGCACAGTGCTGTGATAAATGACTTTAACATGATTTACTGTCAGCATTTGAGAAGGTGCTTCCAAAATTTTAGATAATATGTTGTAAAGATTCAGTGAACTGTGTTATTGTGATGCTGAGTTAAGCTATTAAGTTGTTCCTTCTGATTTATATCTTGTTCTTTGAAAGAGCAGATATGTTGCCGTAGAGTATAAGTATCCCAGTTTTGCTATTTTAACAGTTGATCGTTTAGTGCATTTCATAGTAGAAAGGAGTTGTGGACCTCACACGCAGAAAAGAAGTCTGGGTACCAATGCTCAAATCTAGTAAGCTGCTTCTTTCATCTTTTATACACAGCAGTGAAGAGACATTTAGAATACTGGATAGATTTTTGGTAATGAAAATGTACTTTTTGGAGTGTTGGTCTCCATGGCTGGAAAATTAAATATTTGAATAGTTGATTTAAGAATACAAATGTGAACTCTGATACAAAAACTGCTACATACAAATATTACTCATTCCCAGCTTCTTAATGAGTATGATTTCCTATTGAACTAAATACGCTTTCTTTTATTTCTTTAGAGGGAAATCCATTTGTCCAAGCAATACCTTAACTTCTGTGCTAGATAAAGAAATGCGGAGCAGGCCTGCACCTCCTCTTCTTCATTACAAGCCAACAGATAAGTAAGGAATTTGGATTTAAAACCTTATTCTTCAATTTTGTGCTGAGTTCCCCAAGGAGCATATTCCTGAGCTTCAACTTCATATGCCCTGTTTCTGCTTTTTTCCCTTTTTTCTGCTTTGGAGCTTGCAGTATGCACTAAGATGTTCTTTCCACAGAAGTAAGCATGAAATGAAGTGATAAGAAAACGTGAGATTGGCTGTGTGATATAGGAGTAGTAGTGTAACAAATACTGTTGGGTTTTTAAATTATTTTTTAATAAATATTAGATAGTTGGGAAGACAGCGCTGTTTTGAAGGTTTGGGATTCCTTTTTTTTTTTTCGTTTACCTTTAACCAATGTCTTACTGGCATAAAATTATTTATTTGGACTGGTACTAAATGTATTTTTCTTGTGTATATATGACTACACAGTTGATTAAAGGTGAACTACAATTTTTGTCAAAAAGTGAGAATTACTGAATATGGGATATATAAGGCATCTTGGTAAATAGAATTAAAAGGACAGTCTTTATGTTGTATGACCTGCCAGCTTCAGATATTTGTAGTTATCTCATAGTTACGATTTTTTTCTTTTATGGCTGGCTTGTTATTTGTTTGGATTTACCTTTTAGAAGTGTTTTCCTCCCAAATTTTTCACAGATAAGCATCTGGAGTTATGTTCAAGTACCTTTTGCAGAAAGGGACTGCTTAATTTTGCAGTAACTACTGTTGGTAGGTGCTGCTGGAATACAAAGTAGGCTGTTCTGAAAAAATTTAAATTGTTTCAGAGCTAAGCATCTAGAGCAAAACATATTTCTAGAAGGATTGATTAAGGTGTAACTCGGTGTCAGTTTTTAATAGGTTGGTACTGTTTGTTTCCACTTCTGTGGGATGCCTGTCTTCAGTGACCCTAATTAATGCTAAGGAGTTATGTAGCAAAATTAAATAGAGGGTCTTAGCCATTTATTTTTCATTACTAGAAGTAAAGTTTCTTTAGAAATTCTTAATTCTACAAAATCTTTTGCAAGATCTCATGCTGTCTTACTGAAAAAAATCTTTACAGTGTTTGGATTTGCTATGACCGTATTTTTTTTGTTACTCTTGTTTTTGAAAGCAAGAAGGTTTGATCATCAGCTCACTTTAACAGTATTTATTTTGCTGTTTCCTTAAAAAAGGCATTTTGAACATTTAATCTTCAGTACAGTATCATTTTTGCAATAAATATTACTGGCAAGTTACATTTTCTGGTGAAACCACAAAAGGAATTTTACCCATTCAGACACATGTTGATGTACATTAATTTAATCAGTCATATGTTTTTGTCAAAATTCAGTAAACAAAGGTTTTCAGGAGCATTAAGGTACTTTGAATAAAACTTAGTTTAGAAGTACATGCTGTTGACCAATGCAGTGTGTATGTGCACACTGAGATACTATGGGAGTTTGTGATTCAGTTTACTTTGTAACTTTTTTTACATGCATGTAATATTTAATATTCTTGTAATTTCAGGACTAATGGAAACAGTGGTTTATCCAAACCATTAAAGGAAGAGCCAGTAATTGACTACTTTGATGTCCAGGACTGAATTGATTGATGTAGAATCATTCAGATGAATAAGAATCACATAGATTATGATACAGAAGGTTAGAGGTGAAAATACTAAGTTATTGTGTGAGGTGCTTTTTGGTTATCTGCCAAATGACCAGTTGTTCAACATATTCATAATTTAACATCTAAAGTTAGCTAGATATGGTAGTTTAAAAAGTTAAGCATTTCAACAGTTTATGTAACTGCATAATACCTAATAATAGTATGGGTTTGTTAAATCTGGGTTTGGTGCAATTTTGTATCTAATGTGCAGTCAGAATAATTTAGATTTTCATGGATGACTTTGAAGCAAGAGAACTGGTGGTAAGCAGATATATTTTTGGAATATTAAGAACAACAATAAATCTCAAACATTTATTTTGATGTATCACACACAACTTAAAATGGACTAGAAATAATCTGTGATAAAAACACTGGTTGGGATATTCTTAAAGTATTTTAATGTTTTATTAATTCACTTTTGTGTTATTGTGGTAAATTTGAGAATTTGAGTTGCTCTTCTACATGGAAAGAAATACTAAATTTAAGTATAAATATATACATAAATGCCTATTAAGAACAGATAATTGCTTTGGAATCTGAAGAACACAGTATTTGGGGAAGGTGGGGAATTAAAACTTACTCTATCTCAAATTTGAGGTGTTTAAAAAGAAAAACAAGCAAAAACAAAGAAAAAAACCCAAACCAAACAACAACAAAACCAACCCCACAACATGAGATTACTAATACTACTACTTTTTTATTCAAGACCTTGAACAAAATCAGACTTCATATATAATTTTGGTGTTCTGTGCATGGTTTTATTGTGGTTTATATTTTTTTCTGTAGTGTGCAAGTATAAGATGAATGTGTGAATTTTGGTTTGTTATTAATTTGGAATAATACTTGTAAAATTTATAATTCCATCTGCCTAAGCTATTTGGCAATGGAAAATCTTTGTTTTATGGGAAATGCCATTAACAAAATGGGATGACAGTTTAAACACTGAAAGGCACCTGAGTGGTCTCATAATGGTGAATTTTTTCCAGATCTTGATTTAAGATAGGTGAGTAGCTCTCTGGGAGAGGAGATTGTAGGTCTGATCAGAAGAGGTGGTACAGCTCTGAATTGGAGTCATATCTGTTCTCCTCGGGAAATGTTTTTTTGTATTAATAGCTTTAGGAACTCTGACACTGATGCACTCTGATTCTTGTTCCTTGTGGCTGCTACGTGTAATACTTGAGGTGAGTTCTCTATACAGCATAGGAGACTGATGATAAATAGGGGCTCACTACGTTGTAGTGTGAGATTTGTTGCCAAAAAATTGAAGGCATTTACTCATGCTTAGATTCACTTAGAGTTATCATATGACCCTGTCACTTAACTATGAAGCGTTCCGTGGCTACATTTCAATTGAACAGCTCATAAAACATGGAAAAACAAGTCGAAAACTCACAAGCCATATCTGCCCTTCTAAATGTTTTAAAAATAAAATGCTTGCTATTATTGTATATTTTTGTAGGAGTTTACTATTTCACATTTTTAAAAGTGCAGTCTTAAATGATACTAAACATTTGAAGTGTTTCAAGTAAAACAGGTACCTTCAAGAGTGTTCAAGCTTTAAATTTGTATGTAGTGATTTAAATTTGTTTTACTTTTTTTGTCTAATACTTTGTGAACGTAAATGAAAATTAAATCACAATGTCTTACATTGCCATTAATTTCTTAAGCAAATTATGGTATGATTCTACAAGGTGTATTGCTAAGTTCAGCTAAATAAATAAGTTACTTCCAGGAATGTATTTCTTCAGTCCCTTCTGGGTGAGGACTGTATCTGTACCAGTGCTTGCAGACAAGTGCTGTCTCAATGTGGCCAAACAAAGGCTATTTCTGGTTTTGAAACTTGGAGCTATGTTTACATAGCACTGACTTAAAGCTACTAAGACCTCTATTAAGAATGAATGTAGTTACACCAAACAGGTAGGTTCTAGAAAAGAGCTGGCATACATGTCCAGTGTACTGAGTCGGATGCATGTATACTGGAGCACACACAGTTGGTTTACTATACGTAAACCTAACATTACAGAAAATCAAAGTGGTTTAGTTGATAATAAATAAAATAAAGCTGAAGCCTGCTAACTATTCACAGTTTCAGATGAATATAGCCAAAACCATCACATTTGTGCCTCTGATTTGAAATTTAAAACCTAAAAGGCTTTTGTAGTATTATTTTCAGCTCTGTTTAGTGGAATTTTTATCAGATTATGGCATTAACATAAAAGCTCAGCAGCTTTGGTGAGACACACTTCAGCAATCAATTTGCCACTGCTTGTAATAAGAAAATGGAAGTAATCTCAGTTTCTCAAGCTAAGATTAATAATTATTACCGAATGTGTTCATACTGAGAAGTCATACTTCTTATCACTTGCCTCTTAACTATGTGAATGTTAAAACATTTTTGTAGATCTGTATGTTCCACATCTCTAAATCAAGGCTGTGGGATCCATACCTGTAGTATTGAAGCAATTCACAAGTACCAAATATTTTTTTTTAATTCATTTTAGTAACTTGGTTAAAAATGTGATACTATATGTTTACCCGTGAAAGTGATTTTCCCCGGAAGTTCAGTTACATAGCCTTAAGAAGGAATTCAGCAAATGTTAAGAGTGGTGCTGTTTCTGTTTTGTTTTGCTTTTGCTGCAGTGTATCAGTGACTTTCATATGCAATATGGAGTAGTAATAAAGGCTGGAAATTTGATATATGTGATAACTTAGCTTCGTGTTGCACGTGTGCCTTGTGGAAATACTTTTCAAACAGCTATTTTTTAAATCTGAGCTGGCATTTACACCTTTTATCTAATATAAGAATAAGTAGATAAAAGAAATCTTTGCATCAGTGAAGGCAGTGACAAAAATTATGGTGATATCACTGTATCTTATGACTTCAGCTTCACTATGCTACCAATTTTCCATAGCCCTAAGAATAATATTGTCTCCTGTAAATATATTTGAATAATGTACTTCTCAGTAAGCATCTTTTGAAATAAGTTATGTGATACCAGTTGGAATTCCTGCAACTTCATTAAGTGCTTTTAAAATTGTGTTTAAAATAGGCAGATAATTTGGTATTTGGGCTGTGCTGTTACCTGTCTGTATAGCTTAAAATATTTAAAGTGCTCTGAATATTCAGTATTTGGGTTTAACATAAAATTTTATAAGATACATAAGTAAACTTCAAAATCACTTGTTTCTGTGCAGTTTTTACAGTATCTGCCTCAAAATGAGCAAAGTTTTTCTACAACACTTGTCATTTGTTGAAAGATCTATATTTAACTTAATTTTGTCAAGTTACTGATGTAAAATTACTTTCTTTACAAACCCAAAATAAATCTAAATTTAAAGTTCAGTGCTTTGGAATTGTTTGCAAACTTCATCTTGGTATTCAAGAGTTGGAAGACTGAGACATCACAGAGAAACAAGTGTAAAGATTTAAATTGACATTTGGGAAGTTCCTTTTCCTCAAATTTTTAAATAAAGTATGTGGTTTCCTGGATTTGAAGTGATTTTTAGATGAATGCTGTGCGGAGAATGAAGCAAGTAAAGAAGGCTCCCCAGGAAATGAAGAGTATGCTGCCTTCATGGAATTCAGAGCTACAGGAGAGATGATTCTGGATAGAAATGTGCATTTTAGTTATATGAAAAACCCTTTATTATGTCAGCCTAAATGCTACTTGGCAATAAAATATGTTATTTTAACTTATGGTCCCTTCATTGTTGTTTGTTCACCATTAAGTGGTAATGGTAACTATAAGGCAGGTGGGGGGAGGGGAATTGAGGACTAATGTAACATTAAAGTTCTGTGGGCATTAGATACAAGAAATTCAGGATGATATATGGGGAGTGGAGGGATGATATAAGAACTCTGTCATCACAGTTCAGTAAGTGACAGAAAGACTCAAAAAGCAAGCAGTCTGAAAAATCAGAAGTCTGAAATAATTTGAACTGGCTCCTCCGTAAACTTTTGATCCAGGTCATGCATTTTCAGCAAAAGCCTGACCTGATATTTCAGATGAAGTGCAAGATGGCTCATAGAAATTCAGGAAGTGATCTGAGATTGAAGAGTCTTGAAAGACAGACTAAAACCTTTTAGCTTGCTGCTTCAACTGCCTTTTAACTTTAGACTTTAATTTCAGGATATTTTTGGAGGATGAGGATGGCATGCTGCAGGTGTACAATCATTGGAAAACATGTTAACTGGAAATCTTTGCCTGAAAAAAGTGCCTGCACTTCAGTTTGGTGTGTCATGGACTAGAGGGAGACTAAATACGTCTTCCTTGTCAGTGTGTGCAAATGGCGGGAGAAGGGACTATTGGTTTTGCTTTCTGTTCACTTTTCCATGTTTGGAAAAGGTTTAGATAGATGCTGTTGTTCAAATGTTGGGTTTCAAGAATTTTAGCCTGTGTAGATACTGAATTCCCAGCAGAAGCCTTCATATTTAACAAATGTTTTCATCCTTTACTAAAATACTGAATTCCTAAGATTGTTGATGTGCAAATTTCTGTCTATACACTTACTATTTAACCATAAACCAGAATATTAGAGCTATTAGAAAGGTCTTATGTAGAGATGCTGTATTTTTGGACGCTCCTGAGCTTCAGACCAGGTTTCTTAGTGTTTGTCATCTCAAGATTTTTGAAGAAAGTAGTGTAGTGTCTTGAGCAGATGGAGAGACCATGTTGATGCTGTCCTACAAGAAGCAAGGTCCCAGAAGGATCCTAGGAATCTTTTGTTATTATCCATTGATAATAATGCTGTTTCAAGCACAGTATTTTTATTATGTTTCTAAGTCAAGGTGTCTAATTTAGAATTTCTATGGGAAATACATGTCTCTTTCAAAACATATTTTTATCACTGAAAGAATCTTTTTAAGAGCACAGATCAAGGCATGTCACCTTTCTGGTATTTCAGACAACCCTTTTACCAGTTTAGGTGCCATTATGAGCTACTGCTGCCTTCTTTTCAGTGAAAGGAATAGGGGCAAAATATGTCTGTGTAGAGCTCAGCTACGCTTGCCCTTCTCAACTTTACTTTTTATGCAATGTTCAGGAACTTCCCCTGGTTTGGTTTTCTGATGGATCTAATGTGTGCTTACTCCAGCATCCAGTCATCTTACTACATTCACATTTAAAGCATAGAAAATGTATTCTAGTCAGAGAACTAGACGGCTTGATTTGTAAGATGTAAGAAACGAAAATAAAAGCATCAGCATGAAGAAAAATCTAGCTTAATAGAACACTTTTTATATGCTAGTCAAAAGGCTGTCTTTCAAAATATGTATGTAGGGTAAGTTAACATGTTCTACTAGGGAGCGTTACTTATAAATCTAAGTTTTGGGAGATAAAAGATGTGGATGTTGGATAGTTACTTATCAAACAGTACAGTCAGGAAAGTACATTCTGTCCATTCAAGGCACCTAGACAGCTTACCTTTTTTTTTAAACAAGCAATTCAAGGAGTTTTCAGAATTTACTGCTATCGCAGTAAGTTAGATACCTCTTACAAAGAAATGTTGTTTCAGGAAGTACTAATTAAAATCGTCAGTCAGTTCAGTAACTCATAGTGAGTACTGATTCAGGTTGATGTTTAAATTCAGTATGTTGGCATCAAATAAATAGGTGCGAAAGTTTCTAGTTAAGCGTGATTGCTTAGGAAGGACAGTGCAGCAGCTTCAATTAAAGTCTTTTGCAATTTTAATTATATTGTGCTGAAGTAGGCAATTATTAAACAGGTATTGGATTGAAATACCAAATCATTTTTATGTAAGTTGTATTTTTGATAACTTTATTAGGCATTTAAGGAGTATATGTCTTGGCTGTCAGCTGATATGCAATTACTGAGTAATGTACTTACTAAGAACTGATAAAGCACCATATGAAGTTAATTTTTTAGTCCATGGCTTTCCTGCTTCTTCCAGCCCTGGCCATGAGAAATTGTTTAAATCTTCACCCTGAATGTGTACAAAGCCATGGACCTAGAATGGAATAACCTAATGCAATTGTACAGGCTGGAGCTCATTGTCTTGACAGCAGCTTTATGTAAAAAGAACTGGGTGCCTGGGGATCCTGGTGGACAGCGAGTTAACTGTGAGTTAGCAGGGCACCCTTGTGGCAAAATCATGCACTCTGCCCTGGATTGTAAGCACAAACGCAGCAGGTCGAAGGAAGTCATTACTCTCCTCTATTCAGCACTTGTGAGATGACTTGTGTAATACTGGGTCCAGCTGCAGGCTCCACAGTACAAAAAAGACCTTGACTGAAACAACTCAAGGAGAAGACCACCGAGTTGGTCAGGAGGCAGGAGTACATGATGTGACATAATGGAGAGGTTGAAGTCAGTGGATTTGTTCAGGTTCAGAAGGGAGAATACTGAAATCTTTACTTCTGTCCACAAATACCTAACAAGACGTATATAGAAGACAGAGCCAGAGTGTACTGTAAAAGGATGACAGGAAA